GGTGAAGGGATCGAATTGCATTACAGTTCGGCGTGGAATAGTTGGCGCCTCTCAAAGGCCCCGCGTTATCACACAATTATGGATCGATGCAGTGCTGGGGGATGGGCGAGGAAAGTAGACGCTTGGAGCCATTCAAAAGGGTCAAAACCGGTAAGGCAATGGGGTAGATTGGAAACAAAAGGCATTGGTGGGGAAGGAATTGGTGGGAACGTTGAGCACAATTTTTGTAAAAATGCCAGTGGTAAAGGGAATGGAGGGGGGAAAACCAGGAAATGCGACAGGGGTACACGTAAGAATACGAGGGTTGGTGATACCATTAAGAGTATGATGATAAGGAAAGCGTGCAATAGTGCGTTACTGCGAGAAATTCGTTATCGAGCATCTGACTCGAAGTCAATAGAGGGGTCAGCCCCGTCAATAAATCAATAGCGGTTCGCTGAGTAACATTTCAATTCTTCAGCATTATCAGGGGGGTGGGGGTACTGAATTTCAAGTTTTGATCGAAAATAGGCCATTTTAGGAAAAAAATCAACATTTTTCGTATTTTTAGCCAAAAGTGTAGAAAAACGTCCCCAAAGAGTTAACGCGCTTCGATAAGACGATAAAACAACTTTTTCAAACAATGTGGTTACAATATATCGGGGTTAAATGTCATGAAGTAGACAGGACTAGTCAAGGGAATACAAGTAGATTCATGGATTGATGGGTTGAGTGCTTATAAACCGCAGATCAATAATGATGTGTGACAGTGCGCGGGAAGTGAAGTCAAAGTGCGAAATCCGTGGCGAATGATAACGAGGGAGGTGATATGAGAGAAAGGTATTATATAGCGGTTAGAAAGCCGGGTCAGGTCGGGCTACACTGCGACGATTTGTCGGTGATCCCTCGATGTTAGCGTTTTCATCGTCTTCAGTTTCGACGGGAACTGGCGGCGGCACATGGGGGAGCTGGGCGACACTGGTGCGAAGCGGGGCAATGTTACCTAAAAGATGAGGTTGGACCAGTCAGTGGGATGCAACATACTTATTTTGATAAATTTCCGTCCCGTACGAATTATCTCAAACACGTTAGAAAATGCTCAAATAAAAATGTGGTCGATTAACCGTTGGTTAGTTGCTACAACGAGGTGGAGTCCTTTGATCTGATCTCAAAATTACATACATATTTTCACATTATCAAGACAAATGAACAATTACAAAAAATTAACAACCGTCTGCCTCGGCCAGGTTCGTCAGCCTTCCTGATATCTTGACCGGTCTGAAGGCATAAACCGACCACTGGATGGCTTTGGTGGTAGGCATGGCGGCGCAGGTGATGATGGCTCATCCGGAACTAATAACAAGCATGTAGAAATAAAAAGAAAACATGGGGGGACTTTTGTTTCCTCGTCAAGAAGCGTGGCGGGCTCGTCATTCGGCTATAATGGAGCCTTCCCAGTCGCGTCACGCATGTATTGCTCGTGCTGGAGAGACTAGTGAAAATTTGATACTTTGGGGGTACCTTGTCGCCAATTCCCTGGCTGCCAATGTTTGATCGGCGGCGGATTTGAGTTGTGCGGGCCATGGCGGCCGCTTTTGGCAGCATGGCAACGCGGAACATTGGGCGATCGCTCAGTGGCTGCAAAGGGTTGGGGAAAAAGCAGAAGAAAGCGCCGCCTTTTTCGTGCGTTCACCGCTTCGTCTTTTTCGCTCACCTCGTCGGTTTCGCAAACCACTTCACAGACGCTGCGGCCCGGGGCGCTCGTCAGTGAGCTGACGCCTGAAACGATAGCATAGGTCAAAAAGTGAGGAATAACAACGTACACTGCGCCCCTTCCAAGTTGCGCCTGTCTTTGCGGCTTGGGGCGCCCTTTTGTGAGAGGATGAACGAGGGCGGACGGTTTTGGCGGTGCCTCCAGCGTTAGACCAGCCTCCCCGGAATGAGAGCTTAGATCTCCGACAATGCTTCTGAAAGGAAAAATTGAGAAAAAAACCGCAATTATACCTTGGTCTGTGGCCATCCTGTCTCGGGAAAGTCCTAGAAGAGGCCATAGCCGAGCTGGGCGAGCTGCTGCCGTGAGATGACGAACTGGTCATCGATCCACTACCCGAGCTGGTGCATCCAAGCCGGATCGAAGTACTCCTCTCTGCTGTTGAGCATGCAGAACGCCATTTCCATTCCCTGAAAAACAGATCGTGATACGGGTCTGGGTCTCAACCATCGCAAAAAATAACTTACGCATAGACAGATCCAATATCTCGGACCAGCAGCTCTTTCAAACGATCACAAGCCAGGTTCTCGAGGTTGGTGATGGCTCGAGAATTTGGTTCTTCATCACCGTGCGAAAACGTCTCCTTGAGATGCGCTCTCATTTGGGTACGTAGCTGTAAGGATGCCAAATTTATAAAAAAAAGATGATTTTTACCTGCTCCACAAAAGTAATCGTATCAGCTCTCAGCTTCAAAGGTAGAGGCTGATCAGCGACAGCGCGGAGCACGCCCTCGGCTGCACAGACAGAGTCCCAGCTCATCCCATCAGATTGCTAAAGACGTAATTGATTTGGTCGATTTATTTATCCATACCTGATTCAACGTGAACAGCGCTCTCTTGAAATTGGCGCTGGCTGGCGCGGAATGGGCGTTATTTCTCTCCAGCACAGTTTCTATTTGAGAAAGGGCGTTGAGTGTCTTCGCTTTATCGGAACGGACGATTGCTTCACAGGCGTCCAGCACTGGATACGGCAGTGTCACCAACGTATAGTTACTAAACAGCCTTTTTTCTTATTTATTGGTAGAAACCTCTGGATCGCCGAGGCACATTCGCGAATCCATCGGCCAGGTGATATGATTGCCGTCAATGAGGATGGTACGGAGCGAGGCGTTTAGTTGAAGGGCCTGCTGAGAATACGCGTCTAAAAATTTTTATCTCGTTGGCGGATTATATCGAGATGCCTTAAACAGAAACGTAAAACGGGCGCCAACTGTGTTTACTGTAAGCACGGGGTCGCCCCAAGGGTGTTGAGCAGCACGGAAAGATGAGCACCAAGTCTTGCATCGGACAGGACTAACTCTTCCAAATGCTAAAAAATAGAATATTGATAATTGGGTGTTCAACCGACCCCGTCATCTCCGACCAGTTTGACCAATTCGAGCAGGATTTTGTTGATCGAATGAACGTGTTAAGCGGTTTGCCGCTTCTGCGCAGAGACGTGAGATTGGAGCCGCCGACATCGAGACGTTTTAGCTCCGGCATTCCCGCCAACGCCGAGACGACACCCTAAAAGTATTTTCAGAAAATTCTTCGGCAGACCAACCAGCATTTCCGCTTCAAAATTGTTGTCTCGTAAAGACAGTACACGGGCGGAAACACCAGGTAATCCAGCTTCAAGCACAGGAGCTGCTCCCCGTTCTACTGATCCATTCAGTCACGTGAAGGGTTTTCCAGCTAAAAAAAATTAGTAAGATTTTCAGGAAGCGATCTTGCCTGCTGATTACAAGCCAATCCGAAGAAGCATTGCCTCAGAACCTCGGTGGGGAGTACGGTATGGGAGAAGTCCACCTACTCGTAGCCCGACGGCCAGGGCAAAGAATTCTTTCACAGTTTGGGACAGCTCTGGGGGCACCTTCTTTGACCCGACTTGACAGCCTATAGAATAAAAGCATGAGAAATATGGAAAAACACGCACCAGACAAAATCAGTCGTTCCACTTGCAAGCCGCCATATTTCAGGGCTGGCCACAATTTGTCAAGCGATAGTTGAGTGTCGGAAACGTCGAGCACGGGCAATGAATTACAAAGCGAGACGAGGTTGACCAGTGACGATGACTAAAACAAAGCGTACGGCCGCTCGAATCAACTATAATAATTTTCTTTGACGCGTCTGTCT